CGCCCAGGGGCTGCGCCAGGAGGCCCGGGCCCGGCCCGGGGGGTGCAGGCACCGGGCTAAAGTCCGGAGGGGGCCCGAATGCCAGTGGGGCTGGGTTGGCCGCTGGGGCCGCAGGCCCAGGGCCGTAGGCCGCCGTCCAGTCGTCCTTGGGCGCAGGAAAGGGCGCGCCCCAGGCCGGAGGGGGCGCGGGGGGCGGCTCCACGTGAGTGTAGCTGGCGAAATCGGGGTACTGCGGGGGTGCAGGGTGTGGGGCTGGGGGACCGTAGGCCTGGGGGCCCAGGCCGAGGCTGGGGGGCCTGGCAGGGCCGGGGTACACGGGAGAGTCCTTGTCCAGCACATAGCCCACGTACATGGTGGCCGCGGGGCCCCCCGCGCATGCTGGGCCCTGGAGCCGCGGCTGCCGGGCGCCCCGAGGACCAGCCACGGCTCACCTGCGCTGCCCGCCCGCCGCCGCCCGCCCCACCCAGGCCTTTTATAGCCCGGGGCCACCCGCAGCCCCAGCCGAGGCGGGTTTGCATTTCAAAGCAGGGGGAAGCCTCAGCACCGAGAATCAAAGGGGGAAACCCGTTGGGGGCAAGGGGTTCAAAAGGAGACAAATTGCCGCCCCAAGCGGGAGGTGGGCAGGCCAGGCTCGGAGGGGGCTGGGGAGTGTGCGGCCTGGCCTAGGACGGGCCCAGCCACCGCTACCTGAGGAGTGAGGCCAGGCCTATCTCCCCAGACCCCTACCTGACAGGTGGAGACACCAGCAAATGTGAGAAACGGGGAGACCCAGGCAAGCTTCACACCGCGCCCAGGGCCCAGCACCTCGCTTGGGGTGAGGAGGGCAAGGCTGGACTTGCAGCGGGGTTGGGGTTCGGTCGCGGGGTCTGTAAGGTAGCTCTAGTCTTTTGGGAGGGGTGGAGGAAGGGTCATGACCCCTCTGGTCTTAGATGAAAGCTGTGGAACTTCTCTGGGCAAATGCACATATGCACATGCATGACTCTGCCTACTATTGGGGGTTTTACTTGGTTGGCTCTCCAGAGAAAGTCCTCAAAGGTGTGGGGCAAGGGGTCCTGAGGGGGGGGGGCATCCTGGGAAACTCCACCTTACTCTTTTATTATAATGACTATTGATTTGGAAGTCTCAAACATACACAGTAGAACCTTGGACCCTCCACCACTCCCTATCTCCCTATCCTTTCCCCAAATTTTTATTTAATTTTTCACTTCTTATTTTATTGTGTTACTTTTGTTGTGCGCATGCCAGTACTGAGGCTTGAACTCATGGCCTTGAGCTCTCATTTGACTTTTCTGCTCAAGGCTAGTGCTCTATCATTTGAGCCACATCTCCACTTTCAGCTTTGAACTGGTTACTTGGTGATAAGAGTCTGTGGACTTACCTGTTTGGGCTGCCTTTGAACTGTGATCTCAGAATCCAGCCTATGATTGCAGGTGTGAGCCACTAGCGCCCAACTTATTTCAAAACCAATTCCAAATGGCATGTTGCTTTACTCTTCCATACTTCAGCATGCAACTTTAAGGCACATGGACATTTTCTTACATCTATCAACACAATTAATTCAAATTCCTAAGTATTGTTTGACATAGTTCATAGTCCAAGTATTCCAACTGATGCAAAAAGTGGAGGGTAAAGCCAAGGAACCTAGGGAAGGATTCATGAAAGACACAGGTCTGGGTCCGGAAGACCGCAGTAATGTTCCACAGAGGGACTCAGCTCCAAGGAGCATCACAGAGTGTCCTTTGGGATTTGGTCTTCCTGCACTTCCTGGTGGGAAGGGGACCTACATGTGCCAGAATGTATGGACACTCCTAAGAGAGGCAGAATGAGGATCTTATTTTTCTTCTGGGTCACCACATTAGCCAGGGATGGTCAGCATCATCTCAGAGCTAGATATATGGATCAACGTCAGGATATAATTTGCAGAGCTCAGTACAAAATGAAAATGCAAGGTCCCTTGTTTAAAAAAAAAATTACCTAAACTGAGTACTAGTGGCTCATGCCTATAATCCTAGCTACCCAGGAAGCTGAGTAGGACTGTGGTTCGAAGCCAGCCCAGGCAGGAAATTCCAAGAGACTTTTTTAAAAAACTGTGCTGGTCCTAGGGCTTGAACCTAGGACCTGAGTGCAGACCCTGTACTTTTTACTATTAAGGCTAGTACTCTACCACTTTGAGCCATACCTCCACTTCTGGCCTCTTCCTCCTCCTCCTCCTCCTCCTCTTCCTCCTCTTCCTCCTCTTCCTCCTTCCTCCTCTTCCCTCTCTTCCTTCTTTTTACATAAGAGTGTCATGGGCTTTCCTGCCCAGGTTAGCTTCCAACTGTAATCCTTAGATCTCAGCCTCCTGAATAGCAAGAATTATAAGCACAAGCTGCTGACATCCAAATCTCGAAGACGCTTGTGTCCAATTAAACACATGCGTGCACACACACACATATAACACACACGTGCCATATACACGCACATACACAATCTAGAATTTCAGGATGGTGATAACAGAGTTTTCAACCAAACATGCAGCCCTTGTAAACTGGGACATATGGCTGCACAAATGACCCTGAAGTTACCCTGGTCGGAACCTTGTTCTTATATATAGCCCTAAGCCCAGGGATCCCTTTCTATGAAAAGGAGCCAACCCATTGTATGGACAGAAGCACTGAGGTGCAGGAAAGGTGTAGAACCCATGTTACCTAGTGAAATGAAGGCTGACTGAAGGTGAGAGGAAGGGAGCTGCCTGGGTCACTGTGACATGGCTGAGCTTGTGACACTGTGAAGCTCTGGACTGCCTGAGCAGGCAAATGCAGGTTTTCAGACAGGCAAGTGGACATATTGGTAAGGTTTTCCTCAGAAGTCATCTGGAGCTCGGATCCACACAAGGCTCAGTCTCTGAAAGGACCAATGACAAGATGAAAGGTGCAGAGGAGAGAGAAGAGGCTTGAAGGCACTGAACTCCACTCTCAGATCTGGAGTAAAGAGGGCTGCTTGGACTGGAGGAAGAGAAGGCCGGGAGTAGGAGTTGCATTTATGGAGGGCCAGGACAGACTTGGGACCAGAGAGAGAAACTTGCACATAATCCAGTACTTTCTGAAGGACCATTCATCAAGAAGTGGGCATCCTGGAATACAGACTGCTGGAGGTCTTCAGTTAAGATCCTGGTAGAGGAGGAGCTTGGCATACACTTCACTCTGAGAGCATGCTAAGTCAGACCTTGATGCGGGCTCACTGGGTGGGAATGGTGCAGGAATCCATTAGTTCTCATAGACATTCTTTGACACAGGAGTACTACAAGGTTTTTTGTTAAAAAAAAAAACTCCCTGAATTCGGGAACTGGTGGCTCATGCCTATAATTCTAGCTACTCAGGAGGCTGAGATCTGAGTATCAAAGTTCAAAGCCTGTAAGAGACTTTTATCTCTAATTAACCAGCAAAAAGTCAGAAGTGGAGGTGTGGCTCAAGTGGTAAAGCGGCAGCCTTAAGTGAAAATGCTGAGAGAGTGCAAAGCCCTGAGTTCAAGTCCCAGTACCTGCACAAAACAGATAGATAGATAGATAACTAAATAGAAAGATAGGCAGGTAGATAGTATCATCTAGAGTAACAGTGCTGCAAGTGTAGTCAGTACTGTAGTCAGTACTGCAGCAGAGGCATGCAGTAGGCACAGGAATGAAGCAAATAATCACCCTAAAAGTGACAGTACATCTTGGCAAAGGCAGGAGTAGGAGGCCAGGGAAGACTTTCACGAGGAGGTGACTTGTGGGTCAGGGCACTAGGAAGTGGGGCCAAGGATCTGTCCAAACAAGGCCTGAACCAGGGGCATACATTCCTCTAGAACTCGCCGACCAGTTCTGAGTGGAAGGAAGCAGGAGATGTGTGTGAGCCCAAGAGGAAAAAGAAGCTGTGATGGAGTAATAGCGTGATGGAGGCAGTGGCCAGGACTCCACAGTGGTGGAGAGATCAGCCCAAGTGACACAGGAGTTTCTGAACGAATCAGGGACTATTTTATGATGCAAAAAGAGCAGAGGCAGAGAGGTCTGGGGTGTGGGGACCCCCCCCGCACCCCCATGCTGCGCCAGGGTCCTCAGTGCTACGCCATCCCAGTCTTCAGACACATCCTGGGGTAGGATACCCCATTCCTCTGGAGTCTCCCACCTTGGGCTCACTGTGTTCTCACTGAATCTAAGATGCTAGGCTGAGCAAGAGTCAAAAGGGTGCTGCTGTTTATTGAGCATTTACTAAATGCACTTCTACCATCTGTATCACCTCCAGTCATCCTCACTACAGGATCCCATGGTGCAGATGAAGATGTCGAGGCTTAGGGAGGTCAGGTAACCTGCTGAAGGCCATACAAGTCAATATGTTAGTTTATCTCTCCTCTGTAAGCACTGAACTGGGGGACCGTGAGGATAGTAAGCCTGTGCATGCCTCCCTGCCCCCCGATTTGTTAGCTAGAGTTTGTTTAAACAAATAGCTGGCTCCTCTTCCTCTTGTGGGCTCTTCATGCAAAAGAGCTCTCTGCTCTCTCCTCACTTCTAACTGGACCCTCTAGTCAGTCTTGATCAGCTCTTATGTAGCCCCTGTAACCTTGTTCAAAAATCCCAGCTTGGTCAGGTGCCAGAGGCTCACACCTGTACTCCTAGCTGAGATCTGAGGATCCTGGTTTGAAGTCAGCCCATGCAGACAAACCCAAGAGACTCTAATTTTCAATTAACCACCAAAAAGCCAGAAGTAGAGTTGTGGATCAAGTGCTAGAACACTAGCCTTGAGTATAAAAGCTGAGAGATAGCACCCAGGCCCTGAGTTCAAGCCCCAGGAGACCCTTCCCCTCTCTCTCTCTCTCTCTTTCTCTCTCTCTCTCTCTCTCTCTCTCTCTCACACACACACACACACACACGTGTGTGTGAACACATCCACACATCCACACACAATTTCCAGTCTAAAAGTTGGTCGCTGGTGGCTCATGCCTATAATTGTTCAAGAGGCTGGGATCTGAGGATTATGCTTCAAAGCCAGACTGGGCAGGAAAAATCCATAAGACTTTTATCTCCAATTAGTTACCAAAAAAAAAAGGCCAAAAGCTAAAAGTGGAGCTGTGGCTCAAGTGGTAGAACACTAGCCTTGAGCAACAAAAAAAGCTCAGGGACAGTTCCCATGCCCTGAGTTCAAGCCCCCGGAATGGCACACACACACACACACACACACACACACACACACACACACACACACACACACAGAGCCAGAAGTGGAAGAATGGCTCAAGTGGTAGAGGGCCAGCCTTGAGTAAAAAGTTAAGGGACAGTGCTCAGGCTATGCGTATTTGCCTATGTTGGCCTCTGGCCTAACATATGACTTTGAGCCCGTG